TTAGATCAATACTTCCTACTATGTGTTCTATAGAATGTGTTTTGAGGAAAAAAATCAATTGGTCAAATGAGTGAGAAATTGCATATTTGTTTCCCCAACAGTTTTATTGGCATATAATGTACATATCATACAATTCAATAGTTCAATTATTCATTCATATCACGGAGAATTGTACAATCATGACCACATCAATTTTTGAGCATCCCCTGCCACCCATGGCTAGCTCACCTTTAAAATGAGTGGTGCAATTACAATCCATACTAGTGCTTCCCCTCCTGCCTTCAGTATTTCCTCCCGAAATTCCCTTTCCCTCCCTATCACCCACCTCTATAACCCCTTGTATCAGTTATTATCATTCTGCATCCACTCCTCCTGTGCTTCACAGCTGGGAAACCCAGCAAAAAACAACAAAAACCAAAATTGCATAAAGGTGGTTAGAATAAAATCATAATAGTATAGACAAACATACAAAGAATGCTTAAGAAGGAAAAGACCCGCATCAATATTCAAGAAGCCAGAGAAGAAAGTTCTGTCGTGGGCCCTCTAAGAGACACGAGCACCCAGAATCAACTGAGGTTGCCTCTATCGCGAGGTCAACTAGTCCACGTAGAGCGTGATCCAGATCATCCAGATCGCCAGGGTCTCTGCGTGCCAGGAAGGCTGGTTCGGGACTCTTTCCTGTGGCTGGAGCAGACGGTCCAGGGGCTCAGTCTGACCAGCTCCTCTGCAGGTGCATGTTGGGCTCTCACTGTCCTTCATACCCCTCCGCACACTGGGTGCTCATAATTTTAGCTCTGACACTTTTCTCCTCACCATATTCAAAGTTCATAATTGTCATCTTTGGATCACACAATCTGGTTGCTTCTTCCACACAGACTTAGTTGACTCCTCACTTAGATGGTGTGTTAGTCTGGGTGGACTAGAGAAACAAATTCAGAGACACTCATATGTGTAAGAAAGAGCTTTACATTCCTCTTCAGACTCACACAACACATGCAATGATGTGAAATGCAGGAAGATCACAGGCCAGTGGGTGGAAAGTCTTGTGGATCTAGTGTCAGTGGAAGCATCTTAGTGCTGGCGTGAGTCTCCATGGTGCTCCTCCAGCTCCAAGGCTGGCTGCCATCAGCACAGCTCCATGTGGCTTGTCAACAGGAGTACAAAGCAGAGTGTGTGTATCTAGCCTCCAGTGAGCTATTCATCTCTGTGACGTGTCCAAACGAGGTCATCAAGCTGAGACCTGATTGACAGGCTAGACTCCACCCCTTTACATGTTGATACCAGATTATGTAACAATCACAAGTGGCTGCTTATTTGAATACAAGCCTTTAGGACTCCAGACACTATTTCATTTGATAACCAGGTACCATCTACTTTCTTCACCACACTTTGCTGTAGCACCCTTAACATCATTGACCATTTCATGAAAGTGAGTATCAAGCAAGGCTGTGATGTAAGAACTGGTTGTCCTTAAGTTGGAACTACATAGGATTTAGTGTGAGCCCCAAACCCATTCCTGGATCTATGCTTTCTTTCTTTTTTAATTTGCTGAAACTTGGGAGTCAATACATATGTCATATCATTCCATAGTTCAATCATGTCAAACATTGTATAATTGCTTCCATAATCAGTCTCCAAACATATTTGTCCTCCCTGGAATCTTGACATGACCTCCTTATCTCCCCCACCCCTCTATATCCGCTTTTCCTCCAAACCCTTGTTATATTTTCTTTCCCGATAGATAGGTTCAATGTTCCTGGGTTTAATTTACCGACAAAGAAACAAACAACACAGCTTCTAGAGGGTGAGCCCCAATGGTGACGCACCTCTGAGATACACCCTAATATAAACAAGCACAAGCAAAATATAACAGGGTGGCCACCACAAGATTGTTGGAATAATATGTACCTTAATATAGCACACAGGGCATGGATGTAGTGAGACCTTGTTTGTCTGCCTACCAACAGTATACTTCTCTTGGTGCAGTAGAACCCCGGACCTCAGTGCTAATCCGTTCTAGAAAGAGCATCAAGATGCGATGCAGTCGAGTTCCAAATCAATTTTTCCCCTAAGAAATAACTGAAAGCGTATTAATCTATTCTTGACCACCAAGTTTTTACCCTAACCTTGCCTTTTTTATATAAAACATTACACCAAAATTTCAAAGTAAATAAGTTCAGAGTAAAATAATATCATTTAGATAAGAAACAACATTTAAAAAGTCTTTAACAATGACAATAGGGCCCCTACCTTGAGATGGAGGAGGATCTGGATCTGTGGACACGGATGTGGAGAGGAGGGATGGAGAGAGAGTCGTTGTTTGGAAGGGAAATCCCCTTTCATCAAACCAACTGGTAGCTGCTTTTCAAGAGCTTTTTTCCCCCTCCTTTGCCTTTTTTCACTAGGACCTGGCTGGCTTTCTCTAAAAAACAAAACAAAACAAAAAAAACCAAAACTTCCATATGTGGTCTGCTGTTGGCGTTTCCTTAACTGTTTTCTAAAAAGGTTTTACTAAATTATCAACAATATCGATAACACGTTTAACCAGTTCCTAATCATGATCATATTTCTTTTCAAAAAAACGTTCTTATGACCCATGTTTTTTTATCTAAAAACAGTACAAAAAGCCACCAGAATAAGAAAATTATAGCAAAACGCTTGTGACACAGCCGCAAACGTTTTAAACAACTCATACTCACGATGCCAACTAACGCCGCGTGACCAAATCAGGAAGTGCTTTTGTCGACAAAGATCAAGCGCGTCGGTTTGTTCGGGCTCCGATGCAAAATGTTCTCAACCTTTCGCATTGAAGCCGATTCTGTGGAGTTCGGATGCGGTTGGGTACGGCGGGTCTCCTGGGCATTGGGCGGCTCTGAGTTGGCATGCACTCCGGCTGGGGTTCTCGGAGCCTCACACTTCACATAAGCGCCCTGAAGCTTCTAAGAAGTCTGCCAGTCGGGCTTCTGATTTGACTTGGTAACCAGTATCCCGCCCACCCCACGCCACACCAAAAAAGGGGGAAAGCTCTGCTGGGGTTTTCCCACTCGGTGAGTATCAACAACTTGCCCTGATTGCACCCAGTGGGGTCACCTGGGAAGGTTCTCTCTGGTCACATGAATTTTTTCGTGAAAGCAGTTTCGCTTGAACCTTGTTTTTTTGTGATGGCCAATTTAAGAGAACAGCATGCAGCTGTGAAAGTTCGTTTCCTGCTTGGGAAAAATGCCACAGAACCTGTTGTGATGTTGAACACAGTTTACAAGGACAGCACTATGGGAAAAACTCAGGTGTATAAGTGGTTTTCTCATTTCAAAAAGGGTGAAATGTTGATCAATGGCAAACCTTGTTCTGGACGGCTGTCAACTTCCCTAATGGATGAAAATGCCGATGTCGACTTGTAGTGCATTAGGAGCTCATTCCACCAGGTCAGACTATTAATACAAATGTTAAAAATGAAGGAGTCTCCGGGATGTAGGCAGTGTTAAAGAATGTCATTCATACCATGACTACAGAATGTCAGACCCAGGACAAGTTTATCACATTTGGGGCACCCATCAAGGTGCTGAGGTCATCGAGCCCAGAGCCAGCACAGCATCGGAGGGGAGACTGGCACTGGCAGAAAGGGGAAAATTCAACCTGAATAGTTAAGAAGCTGGTGGAATCAACTTAAATGTGGGCAGGTAAAAGAATGTGAAACTGGAAGCTGCAGATCTAAGGGAATGAGCCCTCTTCCAGGTTCCTCTCCAGGGACCCAGAGACTGAATTGTGTTCAGACAGTTCTGACCTTGAAGCCCCTAAGAGCCCAAGGATAGAATCTTCCTAATCTGAGCAGCAGCTGTGATGGAAAGTGTGCTAAACCAAGAGGCTGAGTCACGACTCAAGAACTTGCTCATGTAAAACATAATTAAGCCAACGGAATTTCTCAATTGAAAAACTAGCAGAAATTGAAAACATTCCATGGATTTGCTCACCTATTGAGCCTATCTTAGCTTTTTTTGTTGTTGTTGATTCAAACGCGTGAACTTCCCTCAAGGTCTGCTCAATGTCATCACCTCCTCCATGAAGTCTTCCCGTTTTTTCCTCGATTGATAGCAGTTTCACTTTATACTTCTCTTATAGCAATTATATTTGTCCTGTACTTGTATATTCAGTTTAGAGCCATGGTGGCAAAGGCATTGGACTGCCATCCACAGGGTCAGATGTCAGAAACCACTAGTCACTCCAGAGGAGGAAGATGGGGCTCTCTACTCCCCTACAGAGTGACAGTCTCAGAAACTCACAGGTGCAGCTCTATACTGTTGTATAGGGTCTCTATGAGTCAGTATCCACTCGATGGCAGGGAGTTTGTTTGGTTTTTAGAGGCTCTATGACATGGCAAACTCTTAAACATCTTGTTTGGCTGTTATTTATCCACCCTCTGTGGTCTCTTACATGTTCAGTGGCCATATAAGCATTCAGTAAATTCACTGAATGGAAGTTAGTGTTAAAAATGTCAAGACACAAATTTGATTGTCTAGGAATTTAACTTACCGCTGAGATAATTATCTTCAAACTAGATTCTTTGGAGACAGAACTTCCAAGGATACTTTTCAGGGTTCAGTCCTGACCCCTCAACTTTTTCCTTTCTACTTAATTTTTACCACTATCTGTCCCCCATGGTTATAAAACTTGATAACCCCTGAATGTAGACACCCTTAACCTCTCCTCAGAGAAGTTTTGGTATCTTCTTGATCTCCTTTCCCTTTCTTTCACAATTGCCTCCTACCTCGCAGGGAGCTTTGTGCCATTTATCTTCCAGAGCCCTCCTGTGGTCCTCACAGTCAAACCACATCATCTCTCCACCAAATTCCTGAAAGCCTCCTGGCTGATCCACCTGTTTTTATTTATTTCATTGTTGGAGCCTGCTAACTACGAGTCAAACAGTCCTGAAAAGGGGAGTGAGGATTAAGGAAAAAAAGAGAGAAAGTATTGGGAGGGCAACAGTGAATACTGAAGCCCCGAGTTTATTCTACATCTTCCTTTTAGACATGCAGAAACAACCTGGAGTTACAATTAATCTATTATCAGAAACCATATTCTGCCAAGTCAAGGAATCTTTGATAAAAATTAAACATTCTGTTTTCCCAGAGCTTGCATACATCTTTGTTCTTTTTCTTAGTCTCAGTGTCAAACCGCAGAAGCAAACAGCAGATACTGACACCTGGGTCATGATAGTTCAGCCGTTTCAAGGCTGAGTCTTAATGACCTTCAACATTTCATTTCAGTTCATTCTTCATAAAATAGCTAAGCTAATTCATGTACTATTTAAAATAATATGGTTATTTAAATGCTTTAAATTTTGTTTGTGGCTTGTCACTGTAATTTGAATACAATCCAGCCACTTGCTTGTTTTCTCCTCCATCCTCTGCACTGTTGGTGTTCCTCGGTCTCCACTCTCCTTATTTAGGGCGTTCACAGTCACCATCTACTTCTGCGAGAACAAAGCCTATCAAACTATCTGTGGTGAAGGATCAGATCTTTGGGATCCCCGATAAATTATGGAATTATATTTTTGCAAAATACAATAAAAACCAACTTCTAGAAAGAAATTGCCCTGCACTAATCAGCTGTTCCATTTAAATCAGGCAGATTTTGGGCATCCAGTACGTCATCCACCATACTGTCATTTTATGTTCCTAAACATCAATCAGGCCTATTTTCTTCACAAATTGTATTTGTATTGCTTACTTAACTTTGTTTCTGTTGAAATCAAATAAGTACATATTGAGTGTCTACTGAGAGCAAGGTATATTAGGGATGGCTAGACAATGCTCACTGAGTTTTGATGGATAGCCTCAACATCCTAGCACTTCGTGAGTTGGGTTGTTTTTGAGTTTGTTGTCTTGTTATTGTGGAGTCCTCGTGGTGATAGGTTGGGCTGCTAAGTGGAAGGTCAGCATTTCAAAACCACAAGCTGCTCTGCAGGAGAAAGGCGAGGCTTGCTGCTCCCATCAAGCTTCCCAGCCTTGGAAAGCCCCGAGGACAGGTTCATTCTGTCCAGAGGCCTCTGTAAGGCAGAATCGACCCAATGGCAATGAGCTTGGTTTCTAGGTCTTGGCACTGTCAACTGTCTGCACAAGTCTACTCATTGGGAAGATAGGAATAAGGAGATCTATAGAAATCCCCCCATTGGCCTATCATCTCGCATTTCCCCACAATGCCGTATCCTCAGCTATGTACAGAATCTCCTAATATCTGTCATCATTAAATTATTGACATCACACTTTAAACTTAATATAATGATCATTATGCTTATACTTGGTCTATTAATTCATAGCAATTATAACTATTGTGGTAATTACTGTTTTACTACCTGGTATTGTACAATTATTGTTTCTGTCAGAATTATTATCTTTAACTCATAAATATTGCAAATATAATTTTTTTATTTTAGATCCTTTTTAAATGTCTACTGAACATAATTGAGTTTTTCATCCCTATCTTTATAGGAAAGGAGCTAAATATATTTACTTTTTAAAAGAAGACTAGTATTTTTTAATAGCTATATGAGAATACGCATAGGGATACCTTTTATTAAATACCACCCCACCCCCCAAGTGCATTAGTCTATTTGTCTTTTCAATAGTGAAACATTCTAAACAACCTAAATAACATAGGGATAATTCTGGAATTCTTTGTACCTATTTAATTCAAGTTTTTTCAACTTTAATACTATTAATGTCTCTTTATAATACCATAGAATAACATTTCTATGTGTGAGTATACTTCTGAGCTTTAACACATGTAAGGATGGTGTGTAACCACTAGCACGATCTAGACAGAGAGCAGCTCTATCGCTGACATCATCCCTCCCCAACTTCCCCAATGGCAGGTAGCCCTGTGGGTGCTGGGCTACACGTTGAGCTGCTAGCTGCAAAGGGGGCAGTTCAAACCCAAGCAGCTGCTTCGTGGAAGAAATATGAGGCTGTCGGCTCCTGTGAAGATTGGCAATCTCAAACCCTTGAAGAGTGGATCTTCCCTGTCCTCTCGGGTCAGTAGGCGTCAGCACCACCTCAGTAGCAGTGGGTGTGGTTGGTAGACATACTCTGTACTCACCTCTGACCCTTGCATAAATGGGTGTCTTCTCTGTCCTGACAATTTTGCCTTCTCTAGGGTGCCATCAAAGGGAGCATACTGCATAGGCAATGTTTTAAGACCGACCTCTCATTCAGCATAAAGCAAACTTGTTGCTGTCGAGTTCATTTCAATGCATAGCTACCCTACAGGGCAGTTCGACGCTGCCCCAGAGGGCTTCCCAAGCATCAGCAGCAGAGCGCCACACCTTTTTCCCACAAAGCAGCTGGTGGGGTCAAACCATCAACCTTTGGGTGAGCAGCCTAGCACCTAACCACTGCTCCACGAGGCACCTTTTATTCAGTATCATGCCTCTTAACCTGACTTGCTGTTCATTTATCAATACGCTATTTCCATTTTATTCCTGAGCCCTATCCCATAGCACATGTACCAGACCGTGTTTATTCATGCACTGAACAGTGGGCATTTGGATTGTTTCCAACTTTTTTATGGTTATGAATGAAATTAATTATTCATGTACATTTTCTGTGAAATAAGCTTTTCTTTCTCAAGACTAAGTCAGGTGGCTGGGCCATATGGCTTGTACATCCCTAACGTTAGTATAAGAAACGCTAATTGCTCTAGGCTGTGCCATGTGGAATGCTACAGAGAACATAGGACAGTTCCTTCTCAGCTCCTGTGAGTGTCAGTTTGTTGTTTGATTCCCCATTTTCATAGGTATGTGAGTTACAATTCCTAAGTGCTGCTGATATGGATCATTCTTTCATAGGATAATTTACCACAGGACCATTTATAAATTTTCCCTGAAATAAGTGAAATGCCTATTTGATTTTTTTGCCCATTTAAAAA